TTAAAATAAGTGGCAACATTGACTGTGATATAGCCATCCTCTGAGTTGGTGATTAGCTTTGACCTGTTATTACTTTATAATGGAAACTACCGTTTGTGTCAATGTATTTGCGAAAATCAGAATACTTTTTTATGTCTTTCGGTCTCTACTAAATTGTAAATTTATATCTACCAACAGGGACTTGTTAGACTAGACGTAAAACTTTTCTTCAATATATCACTTCTCTGATAAATTGAAAGAAGACTTTTGCAGTCATTAAGGACGACAATAATATGTTTAACGCTCCAGTTAGTCTATCTTTTCTTAAACGCGTTGTTAGATTATCTTGAACCGTTGATGATTCGGTTTACTACTCATTTCCTTGTATTGGTTAGGTTTCTTTGTGTTAAATTTTATAGATCAAACCCTAAATTCAAATCGAGAAAGACTGCTATAACTATCTATTGTATGAAAATACCCACGAAAAAACTTAACAAGAGCGATGGAAATATGTAAACACGAAACAAAATCCAGCAGATATAGCTTCAAAAGGATTGAAGCCAAGCGATTTAATTAATAACGATTTGTGGTGGCACGGTCCACAATTTATTTACGATCAAAGCGAAAAATCGGATCAACCGATACCCGAGATGTCCAAAGAAGAAGAAGAAATAACAAAAAGGGAATATCGACCACCGACTACGAAAATCATGAGTCTAAACCAAAGACAATGGCTAGCGAGGGGAAACATCCCATTGATTGATAGATATGGTGCGATAGGAAAAATCGTACGAATTACTGCATATGTTCTTAAAGCGATACCGATATTGTTGAATGCCTTGAAGAAAGGCGCGAAAAAACCTGAAGTCAATACGAGCGAAATACTTGGATCACTCACACCCAAGCTATTGACTGAAGCGACGATCTATTGGATAAAGTACACACAACTCAAGTACTTTAGTCCCGAATTGGAAGCCTTAAAGCGAAAAGATGTCATCAAATCAACAAGCAATTTGTTGCGAGTGAACCCTTTTCTGGATGCGGAAGGGATTATGCGAGTGAAAGGGCGATTGACAAACTTAAATGTCACATATGATGAAAGACATCCAATTATTCTACCAGCGAAATCAAGTTTCACAAAGCGATCGTTAGAGGAAGCTCACAAAGAGATGCTTCACGGTAACATACAATCAATGTTACATTATGTTCAAACGAAATATTGGGTAATTGGAGCGCGAAAAGCAGCAGCTAATGTAGCCAAAAGCTGTGTAAAATGTCGAAGATATGCGAATACAGAGCGAACTCAGTTGATGAGTCATTTGCCTGAAGTGCGATTGTCAAATTCTAGACCATTCGCCAACTGTGGGGTCGACTACTTCGGGCCAATTCAAGTAAAGCGATTTGAAGGACGATGCAAATCGATTGACATAGGCTATGGAGCTGTGTTTGTGTGCTTATCAACGAAAATGGTACATATTGAATGTGTTTCAAATCTTACAACTGAACGATTCTTATGGGCACTAGCGAGATTAGCATCGATTTATCAAATGCCAAAGGAAATGAGAAGCGATAATGGGAAAACATTTATCGGAGCAAAAAATGAATTGTGCGATGTGTTGAAAACTTGGAAATCTGGAGAAATAAGCGATTGGTTGAATAGCAAGGGAGTCCAATGGAAATTCATAACACCAAGGGCACCTCATCACGGTGGCATGTGGGAATCGGCCGTAAAATCAGCGAAATATCATATGAAACGGCTGTTGTGCAATCAAATTCTCACTTTCGAGAGATATCAAACATTGTTTGCGAAAATCACAGCAGTCTTGAACAGCCGTTCACTTGTACCATTGTCCGATGAACCGAGCGATCTGAATTATTTAACACCAGCTCACGCGGTGACTGGAGAAAGAACAATTCAACCATTATCGATGGACTTGAGCGAGATTCCAATGAATCGTGTAAAGCAACAAAGAATTCTAGACAAAATCCAACAAGAATTTTGGAATGTTTGGCGAAAAGAATACGTCAGCACTTTGCAAACGCGATATAAATGGAATAAGGTCGAATTAAATCTCGAAGTGGGCGATTTGATAATTCTCAAGGTCGACAATTCACCACCTGGAGTGTGGCCACTAGCGCGAGTAATTGAAACATATCCTGGATCTGATGGTTTAGTGCGAACAGTGAAGACAAAAACCACATCGAGCGAATTGGTACGACCAATCACCAAATTGGTGCGATTACATCCAGAAGAAGCGAATGATACGAACACAGTGAATGAAGCGAAAATACAGTCTACCTCGAATGATACGATTATACAGTCTACAACCAAATGAATGAAAAATATGAAATTAGCTTTAAGTGAATTGTAATTTTCCGATTGAATTTATTGTATTTATTATTGCCTTCACTCCGTTCATGGGGTGGGAGGATGTCTAAAATGATTTAAACGATTGTCAAACCTATTGTCAAACAACGAAATAATGAAACGAGGAAATCTGGTATGATTGTCATACTAGCGGTGGCGCTGTCGTTTGACAGCCCCGGCAGAATAAATCACCACTTTAACGAAGACGAACGCGTTTTATTTAAATGCTTTTGTTGTGATATTGGCTCCTGTCGTATTGTTTCCGTGCCATTCAAATGTAGCCATTATCGGTGGATGATGACCTTCTACTTTTTTCTTCAGTGCATTGGCCTTATCAACACGCTCAATTGTAATGTTGGTGAAATCATTAGTAAAGAATAAATCCAAGAGACGCCCTTTGGAATCATTACGTACATGATTTACCTGATGAACACCGACATGATATTCTTCGGGACAAATACAGTGACAGTTCTGGTAGTAAATTTTAGTGAGAAAAGCGCAGTCATCCGATATGGCATGGTTTAGTGCCATCTGTTGCGATAGCCTTGATGATTTTCTGCGCAGCGTTCGTTGTAGCAGTATCGATGGCAGTTCGGTTTCACTTGCGAGCAACAGCTCTCCTGGCAATGATTTGTACGTGATTGCCGGCGTTTCCTTTGTGGGTGCTGGTTCTTGGTGTGTCCCCAATTTGTTTGCTGAGCATACGCTTTGCCAACCCCGTTTTTTGGCTTGGGCGATCAATTGTTTTGTTTTGTTTCGTAGTTGAATTCGATTTCTCGGGTTGCTTTTTGGTGCCAATCAAGTTTTTTGGCTTCGTCCGGACATCAGAAGCGGATTTTCGGCCAATTTTAGGGGCAACCTTTGGCACGAATTCTTTTGCGGTAACGCCAGTTGGCCAAACACTGCCGAACAAATCAACATACTCAGCTGGCACATCCAGTTTGAACGAGACGAAAGTCGGGTTTGGCACCTTTTTTTTGTTTGGTCTCAGACTGGTGCAGGTCACGTTGTCAGTGAAGGGACGGGTGCTTTCGATCGCCTTCAAGTGACCAGCAATAACTGACCGCATAGTTTGTTTTTTCACACTGGCTTTTACGGGGGCACTACCAGTCGATTTCGGAGGGACAACAAAATTGCACAAATCAACTGGATTTTTATTTTCTTCAATTAAATCCGGTAAAAATGAGGTGGCGATTATTCGCGTTTTCGCGGTTTTTCGAGTTTTTCATGGAACTGTTAAAAGATAACGTAATGGTATCTTCTGTAAAGTTTTAGAGCGGGTAGAGTACTATAACTTTGCTGAAGAATCCAAATCGTTATCTCTTATCACAGTCCAGTTTTCATGTGAAATATTTATGGGGCATCTCCCCCCAAGAGACGGGAACATGTTGCAAAACCGAAAGACGGACAAAAGGTTGGTGAACCAAATTTGGATGTATCAATGAGATTCCATTTAGAATTTATATCACTTACTCGTATGTTGTTCATAGTGACCATTCTGCTGCATCTTTGCGGGAGACTCCGTATTCAACTGGGAAGCAGTAACAGATCTGGTTTGAAGTGTCGATGCTCTTGATACACTCGGTTCATCGACTAGTTGTCTTAATCGCATCAATTGTGCTTCCAGCTGTCGATTATGATCTTCAAGAATTTGCATACGAGCTTCGAGGCGTCCTTTGTGTTGACGCAGCAGTTTCGCTTCAGCCATAAGATCTTGTCCTCCGCTCGCATTTCCAATCGTATTCTGAGTGTCGTCTGGAGTTGAAGTTGGCGTTTGTTTTGAACGCAATCGATCGTATTCGGCTTGAAGTGTAGCATTCTCTTCTTCCAAATCTTGAATGATTGCTTCCAATTCCTCTCTTTGTTCTAATGCATCAACGGCGGCCATCACTTGTAATGGAGACTTCGGTCCTCCGTTGCTATCATTAGTCGGGAGTGTTTGACAATATTGTGCGATTAGTTGATGTTCATCATCACTGTCGGGTGTTGAATTATTACGTGAGCCATACTCCACTTGTGCTAATCGCGATGCGTACATTTCGAGCCGTGAATGCATGTCATTCTGTAAGTTGTGCGTTGTATGTTGTGGACTTGGTGCTGGAGACTTGAAATACAATAAGGAAACGAAATGAAATTGATTTGATTAAACATATCAGTGAGAGTCACGGATATGGTTTATATCCGTATCCGTGAAAGTGTTCTCACGGATACGGATAAGATTTATATCCGTATCCGTGAAAAATTTCAACTTATCCGTGAACAATAAAAATGTATCCGTGATACTAATATAGAAGTTTATTCTATATGCATAGTAAATGACTCAATGACGGTTGATATGCCGATCTGAAATCAAATTGATACACGCAAAGAGCTAACATGGCAAAAATAATGTAAATTTATGAACATATATATAATTTCGTATAATCATGTAGAACACATCCGTCGTGAGACGAGAAAGAATGTA